AAGTTGTTTTTATAGTCTACCTACTGAATCTAGAAAATAAATACGCAAATAGCTGTGCTTTTTCTTGTGTCATTGTTACTTCAGAGTGAGAAAATAGCTGCACGCGCTGATTATATCTTTTTTTATTGCTCTTAATTTGGTACATGTCTAAATGGTAATTGCAGCGTTTAGAGAGTCCATGAATTTGGCCTTTTTAACTTTGTTCATTCGAAATGTTATTTCTATCACTGTCATCCTTGTTGTCTGTAACCTACTTTTGTTCTGTTGTTCCTCTTCCACACTGTTGGTATTTAAATGGTCTTTGACCTCCATGGGGTTTGCCAGGTGGAGCTAGTGGTGAAGAACCTGCCTGCCCTTATTTGTTTCTGTTTGTATTTCATTTTTTTGCTTCCCTTCTTCCTTGTTGATTTCATTTATTCCTAACCAGATTTTAATGCCTCATAATAAAATACGAATTGAAAATTAAAAAAAAAAAGAACCTGCCTGCCAGTGCAGGATACATAAGAGATTCACGTTCAATCCCTGGGTCAGAAGATCCCCTGGAGGAGGACATGGCTACCCACTCCAGTATTCTTGCCTGGAGAATTCCATGGGCAGAGGAGCCTGGCAGGCTATAGTCCATAGGGTCACAAAGAGACAGACAGAACTGAAGTGACTTTACACAGCACAGCACAGACTTCCATGATGCTGTAATCATAGGTTCTCTAATTTATTTTCTGGGCTTTTCTTTCTTTGAGCTTTGCTGTTGGACTTAAAAGAGTTTTCCCTCTTAAGATCCCCAGATTTAAGTATTTTATTTAAGAATACATGATGGGTGCCTGAGTCAGCAGTCCTGCAATTTTCTGACCACTACTTAGCTTAATTATGAATTGCATTATTGCCAGACTTCAAAGTGTCCTTACTTCAAAGAAGTATGATGTGTGAGGCTGCTTTGGGACACCAACAGCTGATGGTGTGTGTGTGTGTGTGTGTGTGTGCATGCACGCACACACTTAGAAAAGCAAACTTAAAACTATTGTTTGCACTGCACTACAGAAATCACTGAAGAGGTACTGTAAATGTAGAAACCTAAGCTACCACTGTCTTGCTGCTGGTTAATCTGGTCATATTCAATACATCTATGATTACTAAATCCACCTATAACTTTAACTTTTTAAACTTAATTGCCCTACCAGTATTATAAATATGACTTTTTAACTTTTGGGGCAAATACAGTCTTTTTAACTTAAAAGTAACCACAACAATTATTTATTGGTTTAAGAATAAGTACACTTCTTAGATGGATTATATTATTAAGGCATTGAAACAAGAAATATTTTCTTAGTGTACTTAATAATTTATACCAAGAATTTGAGACAATTTAAATATTACAGTGTAATGTCTTTAATAACTTTTAAGAAATAGAAACATATGCAAACTTTTGTTGAATTGGGTTTGTCCAGGAAGACTGATAATCTTATTAACCTTTTAATCTACTTTTGTTATAATTTGAAAATATATTGATATTTGATTTGATATTGAACATTATAATGACTAAGTTTTTTAGTGTACTCAAATTACAAAATCATATCAAACCACTAAGATGTCTTCTGTAAATAAGCATAGTGTCATCACATATAAGAATATGACTCAATGATTACTAGATAAATTTACCTTCTAAACTTATGAACAAGCCTTTCCCAAAATGTATTTTTGAGACTATTTCAACTATATTACTTGATAATAGATGGGGAAGTGAGCTATCTGCAATCAAATGATTAGTCATTATTACAGAATATTCAGGACCTTGTATATGCAAATTTTAGGGTAGATTTGAAGGAGAGAAAAGAATTGGAGAAAAATCTGCCTCATCACTTTAACTTACTTTTCTTTGGAGAGTCCAGCCTTGGACGTTAGAGTTAAAGTTGAGAAATTACATATTCTATTCCCTACCAGATAGCAAGCAACTCTTCTACTTGCATGTGTGCTAAGTTGCTTCAGTCATGTCTGACTCTTCACAGTCCAGTGGACTGTAGCTTGCCAGGTTGCTCTGTATGTGCGATTCTCCAGGCAAGAATACTGGAGTGGGTTGCCGTTCCCTCTCCAGAGGATCTTCCCAATCCAGAGATCAAACCAGTGTCTCTTATGTCTCCTGCATTGGCAAATGGATTCTTTACCACTAGCACCAGCTGAGAATTCCTCTACTTGCATAGATTCCTCCATTTGGTTTTTCATTTATGGGAAAAATAAAAATTACTGAGTTTGATTGAAAGAAATACTGGTATTGAAAATATGATTTCTGGATTATTTTCCATAGCGAAAATGAACAACAACAAAAAATTATCTTGCTGGTGAAGAATCCCTTATAGTAGTTCTCTGTATTCAGGATACTTTCTTCTCGAAGGATATTATTATCTGTGGAGTGTTTTCTTTAAGAAAATAGCTTGATAAAAAATGTAGAAAAGAAGTGGAAGACTTAAAATACTATTGGAGAGAGGCACTGTTTTTCTTACAGATTAGGTTCCTGGGAGAATTTTAAGTTAAAAGTATATTTACCCAAGTTTGTTTACTGTATATTCACTAAGATGGTTCTTGAGATTTCATTGGTTAAGACTCTAACAAAGCAAAAATAAACAAATTATGTAAATAAATAAATACCAGAGCCTAGCCAAAAAAAAAGGAATAAAAGGAAAAAGAACCTAATGAATTTTTCCAATTTAAGGACTATACAGATGATGATTGAGTTTGGAAAGATTTGTTTGAGATCGGAATTCAGTTGATATATTTAAATGTTGTATTACTCTATTTGCATCTTTGTTTTCTTTTAGCAAAAACAGATTAATATCCTTCTTAGCTTCCCATCAGTGATGTGTTAAATGTATATGATGTTCCATAAACCTGATTCTACAAAATCTTCAAACCATTACTAAGGAAAAAAGTTCTTCATTGCAAAATTACCAAAATGCTTCAATGCAGGGTTCAGCAAGCTGTGGCCATGGACCAAATTCAGCCCATTGCCTATTTTGTAAATAAAGTTTTATTGGAATACACATGTACATTTTGTGTACATAAAATATATATGTTGTCTAAATCTGCATTCATATTACAATGGCAGAGGTGCAGCAGAGACCTCAGGGTCTGCAAAGTCTAAGATGTTTACTGTTGAGCTCTTTACAGAAAAAGCTTCCCAACACCTGTCAATGTATATCCCATAATTATCCAGTAATCAGGAAGAATTTAATGTAGTGTCATAGGAGGTTGATGTCCAGAAAATAGTCTCGATATTAGAAAATGCATATATGTATATGTGTATGTGTATATATGTATGTGTGTATATATATTTACATATATGTGCATAAAATGTGTTTAAACCTTGTCTATTGTTGCTATTTATATTTAAAATACTATTTTGCCATTATAATGTCAAAAAACTTCAAAGAACCTTCCCAAATACTTACTTTAGCTAGTATTTTTTTAGCACACAACTTTTTGAAGCTTTTTCATTCCCTTGACCTTGGAGAAATAAACATATTTATCTGAGAATATCTCTTGAGGTACAAACAACTCCAATATTGTATTTTAATAAATAATAGACATTTATACCTGACCATATTTAACACATATCATGGAAGCACTCACTTGATTTTGTGTATCATTCAATTTATATAAATATATTTCTATTCCCCATTTTATAATTTGGCACAGAATAACTCATATCATTATTAAAACTTAACTCAAACTGATTAGATGATTTAAGTTTGCACTTTTACTTAGAGGTCATGTAATCTGAACTCTGTACATTCTTTTAGTCAAGATTTTCTTAATCCTTTTTGAAACATTTTCTTCCCTTGGTATATTAGTTTAGTTATCAATTTTTACTTAAAAATTTTGCTTGCAATTATCAAATATACAGTGAGGTTTTTTCCAGGATGAGTATTAAAATACCTATTTTTGAATAGTCACACCTATGGTCCATATGCCTTTACTACAGTTTTAAAGTTATGATCTTAAGCAAGGAGTACATGTGTGTGTATGTTCACAATCTTACCTAGACTCAGTGTTTGTGAATTTACATGGCAACTTTTTTTTGGAGAAAACCACTTGAACCTACTAAACTATGATTATTTTTCCCAGTTTGTAGATTTGTAGCATACAAATTGAGATTTTGTTTTTCCATTATGCATATTAATGCGAAATGTTTTTTCATTTCTCACGTTTGCTTTTTCATGTTTACTAAGATTTGTTCACTGAATTTAGTTCTTATTCTAACCAAAGTTTTTAAAAACCCTCTTGATATCTATAGTTGATGTGTTTTGAAGAAGCACCTTTACAGACAGCATTAGTCTCATCTTGTAATAAACTTACCATCTCAATTTTTCTCCTCACATTCTTTTTTCCCCTGAAATGATTTCAGTAATACTTTGTGCCTTTACCGGCATAGTTTGTTTTCAAGAGTATTAGTCCAAGTGCCTCTTTCTTGATCCTAGTTCTAGAAAATCCATGTTCAAAAGATCTTGATAGCTACATTCACATGGATGCTGGAACAACCTGCTTTGATACATGGGCTGATTTTTTGATAACTTAAAATGCAATTGTACAATCGTGTTTGAAACTATTATACTTGCAACTTCTTTCCAGTAAATAATTTCAATCTTGATGCATTAATTACAGACCAAAATTCTTATAATATTACTGTTGTCATATTTATATGCTGTCGAATATATTCTCCTGGACATACATTTACCAGAAAGTATTATCTATCTAATGAAGATATGTTCTCTTCTGTTTAAAATTTTTTACACCTTATTCAGATTTAATTATTTTACATATTTAATAATCATGCTTTTATTTACCAAATTGCATACTTAAATAAATCTTAAAAATAATATGACATTTAATTTGTACTACTACCTTGAGTGAAAGTAGTATATCAGCCTAGCATTTTTTTTTGTACATCCTGTAAGTAGGGCTTAGAAATAAGAACTGAACATTAATTTTATGGATTTTTTTCTACTCGATAGGTGCTATGGATATAGAGGAGAGAAATCGCCAAATGAAAATTAACAAATACAAACAGGTAGCCGGATCAGATCCCAGACTGGAACAAGATTACCATGCAAAGGCAAGACATTTTTCTTTTTAAAAGTTGTGAAATAATCAATCATATGAAACCGTTAGATTCTCAAACTGCTGAAGGCAGATTAGTCAGAAACGAACATATAATGCAATGGCCCCATGATATTATTAAATGCTAAAATTTATAATGTGTTTGTATACCAACTTTTAGGTAGAGATTTGCCTTAATTTTTGAAAAAAAATCATCGTATAATATAGGAGGTTAAGGAAATGGAACTCTTAAATGATCTGAAGAACAAATCTTTTAGAAGTTTTCATTTTATAAAACCTACAAAGGCCCTAACACCCTTTAAAATGTATAGGAAGAACTTCTATTTTCATCTTATGGTTTTCCTACATATAGAGTTTTTTGTTTATAGTATTTTAATTCGATCTGATTTTTAATAAGGTTTTGAAACAAAATACATACTCATGAGGTGTTGTAAGGAATTCAACAAGTTTTTTAGTGAGAATCTTTTTGAACCACTTTTTGGTAATAAATTGAGGTATGAAGTCTTCCAAGATAGGAAAAAAAATATTCTTTTTATTGTTTGTGCTCTTCATTGCCTTTATATTTTCAAAACATTTTTAGGTTTATCATATTATTCATTCCCAAAGTCATGAAAAGACTTTGCTCTAATGTACCTATTTAAGATTTAACAAAAAGATGAAAATAGCAAAGCTTATTTGTAACATTTAGTTATTATGTACTCTCATAATTACAGTCATATTATATCTATGGTCTTTTATCTGTGTACTAGAGAAAAGCTGTTTGGATTTTTCTATACTTGGGTCTATTTTATCCTTACCTTCTGAAACTTCAGTTTCTTTCAATTATATCTCATTCTTCAGTAAAAATAATATTTATTAAGTAAAGCATAACTGACTATGCTGGATATGTGTATATTGTAGGCAGCATATGTTTTTAGTTTCTCTGTTATATGACCTAGAGGAGACAGATATTCTTACATCAGCATCATGTTCCAAACCAGCAGTCTCTTTTCCAAATTACATGAATATTGACCGATGTGGTGAATACAGGATTGTTCATCACAGCGTTCTGTTGTCCTGGAAATGGCACGGGCCTAAAGTCTAGAGAAAGGTAAATTTAAGACCAACAAAAAATAGCCTTGCCTTTGCTTTGCAGGCCCTAAACTTCTAGAAATTTTCCTCTAAAATGAAAATATGAATAACTTCAAATAGATCGGTGAATTTCATAGGAAATAGATTTGTAATGATACAACATTTCAGATTCATCTCTAACCTTTTGAGCTTGATATTAGAACTGATTTCTATGCCTTTCCAGGTACTTTTAAAAATATATCTGTCTAGGGCTAAATAGGTATAATCTTTTGTGGCATCTGCTATGCCTAATCTTTCATTTATTCATTTTGTATAATCCAAAAATCAAGGCATTAAGTCCTGATAAAATAGGATATTAAAGCTTTCATAAACATAGCATAACACATTTGTTTCATTTGTTTGTTTATATCCCACTGTACTTCAGGAAGGAATGTAGGTGATTTTTAAAATACATATAATACTATTGTCAATGAAGAAATAAGTATCAAGGGAAAATGAAGTCAAGACACAACAAGGTAATACCAACAGTAAAGCTTGTGAACAAAATGCATAGTGTGAGATCCTATATGCCTGCTACATGTGGGGCTTATATTCTGACTGTGAGCTTCCTCACAAACCTCAAAGGCAGAAAGAGAAACTGGATCACTCATATGATTTACATTGTTCATACAATAAAAATAAGTTCCTGAGAAGCAATGCCAATGATTCTTGTTATGGATACCTGACAAATTTATTACTAGAGAATGAACCAAAGGAATACTATAAGTGTGGCTCAAAATTTATTTTTAGAAAAGCAAGTTTTGATTACATTCCAGTTCATAAATTAATTCTTGAGACCTCAAAGTTTTATAACTTTGACATCAGTTATTTTAGGTTAGAGAAGATTTAAGTCTTGGCAAAGGACTAATTATGCTAAGCAACATAATTTCCTATGTATTTGCTAAGGCAGTGGTTTTCAAACTGTAGTTCCAGACCAGTAGCATCAACGTCACTTCAGAATTTTTGGAAATGCAGTTATCTGGCCCTCTCCAGAACTACTTAAACAAAACTCTAGGAGTTCTTGTGTTTTAACAAACCTCCCAAGTGATTCTGATGTGAACTATAGTTTGAGCACAACTGCTCTAAGACAGGCTGCTTATAGAATTTACTTCTAGGTAACTGAATGAGTTGACTTCTTCTTTTAGGGTTTTATTCAGAAGACAATGATGAATGATGTCACTTAGAAATGGAGACTTCCTTTAAGAATAAGCGATCTGATCTTTACAAGCCCTCTCCTAGTTTTTAACAAATCCTACCTATTGAATGTCAAATACTTAGAAATCTGTTTTCAGTTGCTGGAGTTATGCACTCAGCCTAACCAAGAAGGCAATCAAATCATTAAGATTTTAAAAGAATCCAAAACACGACTCTATTTTGTTCCACTCTGAATTTCCAGATGTGGAACTGTCTTTGCTGGATCATCTGCCTGCCTGTCATCCCTACTTTGGACTACCTCCTTCATGGATGAAAGAGACAATTGCAGAGGATTCTTTTTCAGTCAAGCGCATGTATAGACTTAGTTATTATTCATTTCCATACTAACAATTCTTTAGACTAAAATTTTCAACAGCATCGCTCTCTTTTTAACTAGGGATATTTACCCTATATTACCATTCTTTTCTTCCTTGTTTGATTAACGAATACCAACTAAATATTTGCTATTGACCTATGTGCTTCAATATGTTGGGATTCCCTGATAGCTCAGCTGGTAAAGAATCCACCTGCAATGCAGGAGATCGTAGTTCAATTCCTAGGCTGTGAAGATCCCCTGGAGAAAGGATAGGCTATCCGCTCCAGTGTTCTTTTCAATATATTAACTCATTCTTGAAAACATCATTTAATAAGGAAGGGAACTAACCTATAGATAGAAATATTAAGTATCTACACCAATTCACATTAAATCATGGAAAATATTATTTGTAGCTAATCTCGTCAATTTTGAGATAACTGAGATTAAGTTCAAAAGCCATGGAGCATGTGCTGTACCTCTGAGCTATATTCCTGAAATTCTAGTGAAACTATGAAGAAGTTATGATGGGATATAATTGTTAATGAAGATTTTTAAAAAACCACATATTTCATGTTTTAAATGGCATTGCCTTCCTGAATTTCTCAAGTGTTCTGCACTGATAGTTGTAAACAAGTATTACTAATTTATAAAATATCTCCTTAGTAAATCACTTTGAAAGTACCCAAAGAACAGTGCCTTTAAAACTAGTGTCTTTCTAAGTATATTTTAAATATATTAGGAAATTTATAAGTAGACATCCTATATTTAATAAGAGCTAATTAATTAATTAATTAATTAATCAAATCCAGGTGCACACATGATTCCTATTCAATCAGTGGATGAATTCTCAGGACTTTCCCCCTCAAAACAGAATTTAACTATGTAGCCAGCCTGTGCACTGTTTTGTGCCTATTACATTCTCTTTATCCCAGCTTAAATGTGATTCACCTATTCTACTCTCAAAGAAATTTAAGGATCAACTTAAAACCAATATTCTCTGCTCCCCATTGGTTCAGAAGAATGTGATTTCTTAGATTTAACAATGTGAGTTATACTTCAGCATAAGCCAACTACCTTTCCATGAGTAATATAATTACAATAATTAACAATAATTGATAAACAGTTTATATATATATACATATATATCTGAAAATTGATATGGATAATTTTATAATATTTATTTAAGTATATGATGTTTGCTTTTTAAATTAGCCATATTTAGTGTTTCTAAATGAATTCAGAGGATTTTTTTAAAGAGGTAGTCCGTAAGATTTCAACAGGGAAACTATAGTTTATTGATACTGTGTTTATTTGGAAATCAAAGTTTATTTTCCTGTAGAAAAAAAATGCTCTCTTTTGATGCTTATGTTCCCATGAAATTATCACAGAAATATCTTATCCCTATTTTAGCACCTAAAATTTTGTTTTCGTGTTTATCTCTCTAAAATTAAGTAATATAGTCAATAAATTTCCCATAATTTTTCAGATATGAACCAGGAGTTCATATTAATCCATTTAGTGTTCTAGGGTCAGGGTACAATGGAGCAAAAGAAAGGAAAACAGTTTCTATCCTTCTTTGTAGGTACCTAGTGGAGCACTTGACACCTCTTCTCCCAGGCTTCTTGTCTTTTAAGATCCTTTCACTGATTTCAGGTCTTCCCTGGTGTCTCGGTCGGTAAAGAGTCTGCCTGCAGTGTGGGAGACTTGGGTTCAATCCCTGGGTCGGAAAGTTCCTCTGCAGAAGGGAATGGCTGTCCACTCCAGTATTCTTGCCTGGAGAATTCCATGGACAGAGGAGCCTGGTGGGCTCCAGTCCATGGAGTCACAAAGAGTGGGACACAACTGAGTGACAACCCTTTCACTTTCACTGGTTTCAAAGAGGCATGTTAGGAAGAAAGCAATCCCACTAAAGTAATTTACATTATAATATGAACTACATAGCACAGAGATAGTTTCTTTAAAAAGAAAAAAGAAAAGCTCTATAAATACAAGTAAACCTCACAAGATGATATTGTAGGCAGTATCAATATAAAAAATTCAGACAGTTCAAGGCAAAATATTTTTGGCAAATAAATCGCCATTGTTAGCTAAGCTGTGCCCTTTATTAGAGCTTATTCTCTTCTCAGTACTGAAAATACTCATTCAAGGCCAGCCTTAAATGTTCTAATTTGACTTTCCACACACAAACAGTTGGGGCTCCAGAAGAGAGGAGATACGTAGGAGCTGGTAAGGAGCGGCATATATGTGCTTCTTGTATGTTTGTTGTTTGTGGGTCAGGAGCACTTCAAGACTCTAATATCAAAATGAGGTCAGAGTACATGATGAGAACCCAGCCTGGAGTTAAGCAAACTCCACCTGGGTGACTTTGGGTAGCT